TACCACTTGAGCCACAGCACCACTTCCAGTTTTCTAGTGGTTTATTGGAGATAAGAGTCTCACAGACTTTCCCGCCCCGGCTGCCTTTGAACCAAGATCCTCAGATCCCTGCCTTCTGAGTAGCTAGGATTAAAGGCGTGAGCCACTGCACTGACTAAGTGTGTTTCTTTTTTTTTTTTGGGTCCAGTCATGGGGCCTGAACTCTGGGCCTGGGCACTGTCCCTCAGCTCTTCAGCTCAAGGCCAGCGCTCTACCACTTGAACCATAGTGCCACTTCTGGCTTTTTTCTTTTTGCTTATGTGGTGCTAAGGAATCGAACCCAGGGCCTCATGCATGCAAGGCAAGCGCTCTACCACTGAGCCACCTTCCCAGCCCATAAGTGTGTTTCTTTTTAAGAACAAACAAAACAGGCGGAGCACTGGTGGCTCATGCCTATGATCCCAGATCAGGGACAAAGATATATGGTAGAGTGCTCACCTCGCACATATGAGGCCCTGGGTTCGATTCCTCAGCACCACATGAGCAGAAAAAGCCAGAAGTGGCGCTGTGGCTCAAGTGGTAGAGCGCTTGCCTTGAGCTGAAGAGCTGAGGGGCAGCACTCAGGCCCAGAGTTCAGGCCCCAAAACAATACCCAAACAAAAACAAAGCGCCAAGCACCCATGGCTCACACCTGTTATCCCAGCTACTCAAGAGGCTAAGATCTGAGGACTGAAGTTCAAAATCAGCCTGGGCAGAAAAGTCTGTGAGACTCATCTCCTTTCTGAACACCAGCAATTTGGAAGTGAAGCTGTGGCTTAAGTGACAGAGCACTAGCCTGAGCGAAAATGCTCAGGGACAGTCCCCAGGTCCTGAGTTCAAGCTTTAGTATTGGTATGCACCTGTGCACACGCCTGCACATGCATGCACACACATACACAGATACAAAGGAGAACTAGAGGGTGCCCAGCCCAGGAAGGAAGACCTGGCCTGATGGACTCTGCAGGGCCTGGAACCTTCCCCACGGTCACGGCTCCCTCTACAAGTGGGCTAGCCAGGCTGGAGTAGCCCTGCCCTAGTTCCTTCCTCCAGAAGCTCAGGACTCACTTCGCAACAAACACTGCTTCAGCCCGGCAGTCACGGGACCTCTGCTTTCTCATCTCTGAGCGGAGGACATAATTTTCCCCAACAGTTGGATTTGAAAACAAACTCACTCCCATGTGACAAACACACAGCCTCCCATTCAGCCTTGGTGATTACATCTGACACCTACCGCACTGGCTGCTGAGCCTGCCTTCCCGACGGCCTCTCCTGGCCACGGGGAGCAGAGGGGCCCACAACCATGGCTCCCTTTGCCCCAGACCATTATTCATTCTCCAAACTTCTAGTGAGGTCTGGCCTTTTCCCTGCTGGCCCCAGGCTGGGGCCTGGAGATAAGACAGGGTGACAGTGGCGATGAAGGAGACTCACAACCACAAATGCACGTGGGGAGGAGGGGGAGAGGCCCGGAGCCGGGGACATGGAGGAAGGGGCTGGCTCAGCACTGGAGCGCAGAAGGGTGGTGGCACCCCAGGTCTAAAGACATGCGGTTGGCCTGCTGCGGGGCTGAGACAGATCTACGGAAAGGGCATGGCAGTGTGGCAGGGCCTTGGTGGGCAGTGCCAAGGGGGTGGGGTGGCATGGGCAGGCTCTGGGCCCATGTAAGGGGCAGTACGAAAGGTTAAGTACCTTGGGGGGGAGGGGGGAGGCTGGGAAGGGATGGGAAGGGTAAACAAAGGAGGAAGCTGCAATGCTTGGTAAGAAATGTACGCATTATCCTGCCCATGCAATTGTAACCCCTCTGTACAGTATGTTCACAAATAAAATTAAATTAAATTAAAAAAAAAAAGGTTAAGTACCTGACACTTCAGACTAGCATTTAGCAAAATCTCCCTAGTCTGAGATCTGAGGATGTGGTTCAAAGCTAGCCTGGGCAAGGAAAAGCCCATGAGACGCATCTCCAAGAACCACCAGAAAACTGGAAGTGGTTCCAAGAGGTAGAGTACTAGACTTGAACAAAAGAGCTCAGAGACAGTGCCCAGGCCCCAAGTTCAAGCCTCATGATTGACAAAAAGAAAAAGAAGAAAAATCTTCCTAGTGGCAAATATGGTGGCTCAAGACTGTCATCCTAGCTACTTGAGAGGTAGAGATTAGAGGAAAAGGAAATGAAAAGAGGAGAGGAGGAGAGGAAGGAAAGATCTCCTTGGTGGCCTAGGATGAGGGGCAGAGAAAGGAGGAAACATCTAGCTAAGAAGTGAGTGGCTGGAGCCGGGTACCAGTAGCTCACACCTGTAATCCTAGCTACTCAGGAGGCTGAGATCTGAGGATGGAGGTTCAAAGCCAGCCTGGGCAGGAAAAGCCATGAAGCTCTTATCTCCAATAAACCACCGGAAAACTGGAAGTGGTGCTGTGGCTCACGTGGTAGAGCACTTGCCTTGAGCTAAAGAGCTGAGGGATAGCACTCAGGTCCAGAGTTCAAAAGCCCCACAACACACACACACAACACACACACACACACACACACACACGCACACGCGCGCGCGCACACACACACACACACACACACACACACGTGCGCGCGCCGGGCCAGCCAAGGAGGGTACTCATGGTGATTTCAATGAGATCTTCTCAAGCAAGTGCCTGGCCAGTTCAGAGCACGGGCGAGGCCCAGCTGGCCTCTCAACAATGGCTTGTCCCTGTGGTGCCCGAGGGGAGGGAGGCCCCGGCACATTCAGACACCAGGGAAAGGTCAAGGCAGTGCCACCAGACTGAAGCCCAGAGAGCCTCCCAGAGGGGATCTCACGCTTGCTAAGACTCGTTTGAAGTACCCCAGGCCTAGAAACCTTCCCAGATTCCAATGAATACCCACCCCGACCGCCACACAGGACCAGGCTGACTGGGACCTGGCCCCAGGCCTCGCTGAGCCCTGCCAGCAGTGGTGGTGACCACAGCTGCCCAGCTCGGCTCTTGCCCGGCACCGCAGCAATCCCTACACGTGTTCCCAGAGCGCAGGAGCCGACAGGGGCAGAAATGAAGAGCAGAGGAAGTGAAATACGTGCTCCAGCCGAAGCATTCGGGAAACCTTGATGCACAGCATCAATGGACAGCAGCCAGAGGGGGCAGGGAGAGGCACAGGACAGAGAAGTACCTGTTCTTCTTGGGAAGACTCCTACTGGGACTCAAAGCGTGCCCACGCCTGCCCTTCAGCCTTGCTGAGCACCATCGATGCCCACTGGTCTCCATAAGGCAGGATAAGCAGACAGTTAAGGAGACAGAGGCCTCCACATCTGCCTGGCACCATCCATGCCGACTAGGCCAGAGAGACGGCCAGAAAGCCGACAAGCCCCATTCCAGCCCCAGGGTGTGCTGTCTAGGGATGAAGAGGACACAGTCATTACCACAAGATGACTCCGATGCCTGATAAGAAGATACGTAGAGTGCCAGGGACGCCCCAGGGCGTGGGTTGAGAGCACAGTGCGGGGGAGGCGTGTTTGGTGGCTGAGAGCGCAGGTGCCCGTGGCCAGGGAGAATGCGGGGGAGGCGTGTTTGGTGGCTGAGAGCGCAGGTGCCCGTGGCCAGGGAGTCTAGAAGGGTGTCCAGGCAGAACAGGGGGCAGGTGCGTGGAGAAGAGGTGCTGGTGTTGTGGGGGGGTGATCTACAAGTATATTTGCCCAGACGCAGGGAGGGAGAAGGCTGGAGAAACACACTGGACAGCTGGAGGGGCCACAGCTGGGCATGGGGCATGAAAGTAGCTATGGAAGAGTCCCAGCTGGTGGGAGCGAGGGCAGAGGGAGCCGCTAGCGCCCGGCGGCAGGTGGTGATCACGCCTCCTGGACCCTTCCTCTCAGCAGTCCAGTCTTCCTGCCACAAAGAGGGCAGAGGCCCACTGTGTCCATCCCCAAGACCTATTGGACATTCCAGAGACACAATCACCTTTAGGACCTGGTCAGGAATCCTGGGCAGGAGCGAGGCAGTGGCGGTAAGAGGCTGACAGCAGCTGCTTATCCTCTTAAGTCTGGGCACATGTGAGGACTCAGAATTGAGAGAAAGGAGCCACTGGTCTACTGTGTCCACTGCACATCCCTTCCTTCTCATTCTCTGTCTCTCTTTCTCTCTGCTAGTACTAGGTCTTGAATTCAGGGCTTGTTGCTCTATTTTTTTTTCCACTCCTGGCTGGAACTCTACCATTAGAGCCATGCCTCCAGTTATGGCTTTTTATTGGTTACTTAGAAATTAGTCTTGTGCACTTTTCTATCTAGGCTGGCCTCAAACCTTGAGCCTCAGATCCCAGCTTCCTGAGTAGCTAAGATTACAGTAGTGAGCCACATCCACTCTTTCCAGAACCTTTTCAATACCTACACTAAGTGTCTGCAGCCAAGCTAGGTATAGCAGATACAGAAACTAGACACCTGGCAGAACAGGTGGAAAAACAGATTTGTAGGCACATGAAGATAGAGGCGCAGAGAAGGCAGAAGTGGGCCACAGCTAGAGGAGCTGGTGGAGGTTCTGGAAGCTGTTCTCAGAGGGGATTAGACAGCACTCAGCCTGGATGGCGGTGGGAGTGGGGTGGGCATTCTGCGTGAAGGACCCACACAGGTGGCAGCAGGGAAGAGACTCGCTGACCACAGCGGCTCCTCCCCGAGTGTGCGTCTGTGTGGTGGGGAGGACGAATCGAAAAGGCCCTTGTCCCGCCAGGAGCCTTGCCTCCCAGGGACGGATGGGCGCCAGGGCATGGGGCACTGAGGCAAGGAAGCAGCCAAGCTTTCTACTTGGGATCTGGTTTTGTTTTGTTCTGGAAGTCTGCAAAGTGGAACCAGAGGCAGCAGCCATTAGGATTGTTCCGTTCGCTGGGGGGCGTCGGGGGCAGCTGGCTGCACGGGGCGGGCTCCAGCCTGGGCTTCCCGTGCAGACTGTGGCTGTCAGGGTGGAAGAGGCGCTGCTTCAGCACCGGCACATTTTGAGCACACTCCCCTGGACCCCCACTGAACCCCCACTTCTGGAGAGAACCTCCCCCTGTAGGTGGCAGAGCCATGGCTAAACAGAGGCCTGCCCTACCCCTTGCCTTACTCCTCTGCCTTTTTTTTTTAACCTCTACTCCCAGGACCTCCCCCCCCCCCCTATCATTTCTCTCTGAAGAGGTGAACTCCTCTACAGCAACCTCACCCCCTCATTCTCCCCGAGTACCCGTCTCCCTCCTTCCCTCCCGGGACTCCGGGCTGAGCTCTGTGGGCCTAAGTCTTGCACCCTGTGCTGCCCTCTGCTAGCAAAGCCAGGAAGCAGCTCAGCCCCAGCTCTCAGGAATGTCCCGCTGGAAAGCCTGTCCATCCCCACCCCCTTACCACACCCAGGCCAGCAGACTGCTCTCTCCTAATACCCTTCCTCAGTACCACTTCCCCTTCACCCAGTGCCAGTCCTGCAGCTTGAACTCAGGGCCTGGGTGTTGCCCCTGCCCCTCTGTGATCAAAGCTAGCACTCCACTTCCAGCTTCTTAGGGGTTACTTGGAGGGAAGTCTGACGGCTCTCCTCTCGTGATGGTCTGAACGCTCACATCTCTGCCTCGCAGGTGGCCTGGGTGACAAGCACGAGCCACTGATGCCACCCTCTGTATTCCCGGAAGCTCAGCCTAGACCAGTGAGGCTCAGCCAAGCCTCAGCTTCCACCCTCCTGTCTGCTTGTCTCAGTGCCCGGCACAGGCCAGCCAGGCCGAAGCAAGCTTCGTGATGCTGTACTTAAGCCTCAGAGGGGGAAAGTGAAATCAAGCCACATGCTCACAGGACCTGCACAGGGCTGGCACCTGGTGCTGCCCCGAGGCCTTGTCTGCTCACCCTCAGCACCCTCCCCTGTTCCTGGATTCTGGCTCACTGCTGGGGACTGGGGCGGGGGAAGGGAGCGGGCTGCCAGGCAGGAGCTGCCCCTTTATCTGCATCCCCACAGCTGCCATGGCCCAAGTCCAGGTTCACCTTGTGGACTCGCTGTCCCATGCATGCTGGCTGAGGCAGTGCCGGCTCCACTCTTAGCTCTGCCTCTCCATTTTGACCGTAGCAGGCTCCACCCAACTCCTTCCTGCAGAGCTTCTCTGCCTGCTAGCATGGCTGCCACGTAGAACAGAGACCTCGCGTGGGGTGTCTGCCCGCTGCGCCAGCTCTGCGCTCATTCCCGACTCTTCAATGTCTTGAAGAGGGCCTGGGCACTGTCCCTAAGCTCTTTCGCTCAAGGTTACAGTTCTACTACTCTAAGCCACAGCGCCACTTCTGGTTTTCCAGTGGTTAATTGGAGATAAGAGTTTCATGGACTATCCTAGCCCAGGCTGGCTTTGAACTGCCATCCTCAGCCTCCTAAGTAGCCAGGATTACAGGCTTGTGAGCCACCAGCGTCTGGCCCCTCGGTGTCATTTTGTAGGAATCTGGCTTCCTCTGGCCCAGAAGCTCCCATGCGGGCTTCAGTCCCACGCCTCCCGTGGTGTCTCACAACCTCCATGTTCCACGATTCCGGTGTAACTCAGCTCCAACTCCCGGCCCACCCACTGTGCTCAAGGCTTGGCCTGTGGCAGCCCCCCTGACACGTCCTGCCCCCTTCCTGCCCCTCCTACAGTGGCTCAGGGGCACGGTGCCAACAGTGCTACACTCATGACATGCCAGGCTCAGAAGGAACGTCCCTGTGGGGAGGAGAAGCAGAACACGCCATCCTCTTCCGATCACCCCTCCTTCCCAGCGCTCCGGGGCCAGGGCCTCCCTGTCCAAATCTGTCTCCATTCTTGGCACAGTGAGACGTTGCAGTGGCCTGCTTCCATGTCCCACTCTTCTACTGGATGGTGACTCCCCTCCCCTGTGTGCCCTGGCAAGTGGGAAATGGAGGAGGAAACAGGCAGCGAGTCGAGAAAATCGCAAATAACTTGGGCCCAAGATGAAATTTAATTTTGAAGGCTGAATCACAACGGACCGCATTGCCAGCTGGTCCCAGGCAGTGGCCTTCCCCAGTAGGCAGCTTCACCTGACAAGGAAAGCCAGGTGGACGCCGCCCTCCGCGCTGAAGCACAGCACAGAAATCTGCCAAATGTGAGTGGTGACTGGCACCCCACAGTGACTACCAAACCGCTGGCGACAGGGAACTCAATAGTGGGCCCTTTGCTGGTGGCACACAAGAGCAGGCACGTGCAGGTGCAGCAGGGATGTAACCAGTAATGAGGTGTTAGTCACAGCACCGCGGGCCAGCTGGCCTGCCAGCCAGGACTGGACGTTCAAGCGCAGGGCTCGGCAGTGCAGTGGTACCTGAGAGCCCCCTCCCCCACCCCACTGGACTGTGAGGAGGGCCTTTGAGGCTTAGGCTTGGCTAGCCACTCAGAATGGCTTCCAAGTTCCCTGTGTCCTTTTCCTGGGCAGAATACCTTCTCTCAGACTGGTCTGGCTTGCTCACAGTGGCTGGAATGAGGCTCTGCTCGTTCAGTATCTTTTATTTGTCTGAACTCAAAAGGGTTTTCCCAACAGCAGGTCAGGAAAAACACATCTCAGGACACAGAATAGAATCTGTAGAAAAGAGAGAACACAGCCAAAACCCAGCAGCACTAGAATTTTGATGGACCTGAGTTACAAGTAAGTAATAGGAGACAGGTGTCCCTGTGGAAAGCCAGGCACAGGGCAGGTTCTCAGCACGCAGCTCCAGAGCTAGCGAGCCTGCCTCCTGGGATGCAGTCCTGAAGGCTGAATCACGTTAATAGGCATTCAGAATGCTTCCTGCATGCCAGGGTGCCAAGGACTGGAGCTCAGACAGGCCAGGCCTCACCCCAGCCCTCAGTGAGCGCTGGCTCGGGACAGTGTACCGGATGAGAAGGGCAGGTGCTGTGACTGGAAGGCAAGGACGCTGCCCCCACACACAAGGAAAAAGGGTTCAGGGAAGGATTTTTAGAGCCAAAGCTTGCCCCAGCTGGGACCTGAAGAATAACAAAGAATAAGGAAGTATCTGAGACAGCATGGGCAAAGGACAGGGCCACAAAAGACAGAACCCATCTGGAGCCGGGGCACAGGCCAGTGAGCATCCCTGCGCTCAGATTAAGTAAGGCGTGCTACAGTCCAGCTCACGGGCTGAAGGAGCCTGAGGGCCCAGGCGTCTCTGTGCTGTCCCCAAGGGACAGCGTCCTGAAGTCTGGGAGCGAGGTACCTTCCCCATACCACAACTTGATCCTCCTAAGGCCTACAGGTGTCCAAGTCAGGAAGGCAAGAAGGATTTCTGCTAGCATAGGAACGGTGTGGCGTAATCAGGGATCAGAAGCAAAATGACTCAAGGAAAGGCTGACAGGACAGAGCTGAGGAAGCTTTTGGTGGGGCCCAGGAACGAGCTGCACTCAGAACAGTCAACAGGCTTTTATTGGTAACAATAGAAGAGTGTGTAGCATCCAATTATAACTGTAACAAGCATTTGTGATGATACACACTGGCACTTGGGAGGCTGAGTCGGGAGGAACCACAAGTTTGAGGACAACCCAGGCTACACAGCAAGGCTCTGTCTCAAAAAACAAAACCAAGAGCAACAAAACTGAACGAACTATGTAAGGATCAGGGAGACACACAGTTTCAGACATAGTTAGAGAAACAGTCCAAGCTGTGTCCGGAGCAGTCTCAGCCATTTGAGCACGCCCTGGTGTCAGGAGGGAAACCACCATTGCTTACACACACCCTAGAAGCCGGAGCTGTAAACCTTGCGCAGACAAAGGCGTACTCCGCAGTGTCAGCTTTTCCTCATCTTTGTCCAAGGAGGCCCCCAGAGTGGGAAAAGATTGGAGAGTGAACATCAGACATCTACCCTTAGTCCATTCTTTCCAAAGTCCTGCTTGCTTTAGCAGCAAGGGGTTCTGGAGAAGCAAAGCATTGCTAAGAATCTTGGGCCTAAAGGGTTTTGGCCCCCTTCCCCCAAACTCCGAACACTCTTCCAGGACTAATCTGTAGTATAAAAAATGCTGTCTTTTGAGATAAGAGACACCTAATCTAAAGGTTTCCCTAAA